CTTTTTTTTAGTCGTCTTGAGGGACAGTTTCCTGGGATATTGTCCGGAAATTTCAGTATATTTTCACACATAAATTCTAGTTCATAAGGTCGCGTAATACATAATCTTCGAGTGCTTTGAGAATAAAGGATAGATTCGACTTTTTTTTTAATGGCCTTAAGGGACAGTTTTCTGGGATATTGGAGCTCAATTCCAGAGCACGCATTTACAAGAAATGAACGTGGCTCTGCACGTGAAATAATTTCATAGGAAAATATTTCAAGTTTTATATGCAAATACAATCGGTTTTCTATTCAACTTATATCAGGAATTTTATTTGTTATTGGCCGATCATTTTTTTACTTTTTCTGTGAGTCGCTTTTATAAAATTTGTGCAATCAAGCCCGTCGAACCGTCGTCTTAACCGCCAGGGAGCTATTTCCGCGCAGATAAAGTAAACATATTTAGTATTATAATATGGATTATAAACTAAATATACTATTATATATGAATATACAATAATAATACACATTTACTATTGTAATATGCATTATAAAATGAATATACTAGTATACTCATGTAATAGTATATTCATATTCATTTATATACTACCACCAGATGACGTGAATGACTATTACTAGTTCTTTAGAAAAACGATTATTTAAGATGTAATAGAACGAAAGAATAATCGGCCATGGCCGAAACGATAAAAATTCGAAGCAATGCATTTTTACAGAGAATATCTGCATACAATCGACCAAAAATAAATAGGGAATTGAACGAAAATTGAACGAAAATCCAGTTGCATTGTCTAGATGCTAGATAACTCTATCAATGTTCTCATCGATGCTCGCTCTCTTGTCACAATTGTTCTTCTTTCTAATTTCTTCCCCTTGATTCTTAATTCTTCTTCTTCTCCTTCATTCCTTCCTATTCAGCATTCGGAGTCCAATAGTTTGTTAATGTGTTGATCAGTTTCATGACACATGGCTTGACACCAGCGACTCCGCGTTTCCTTTTTTTCCCACCAGCTACAGCTTTTGATCCTGGAGTGTTGATACCTACGAAGGCTCTACAAGTAATAGTTATATATAGTTAACAATAAAATTAATTATTAATAATTGTATAATTAATCCATAAATTTGCACCAAATTGTGAAAGGAAAACAAGTTTTTTCTTTTAAATAAAAATGAAGGAAACAACTGCAGGATATTCGAAGTGAAACCTCGTTCATGAGATGGTTATTGCTAGAGGATGATAATTATTGGGGAATAATATGAAATACAGCACATTCTAGCATATGAAGAATTCCTTGTCAAGTGGGCCACCTAGTTTTTTCATACGTACAAATTTACATGTGACAATTCTCTCTCGGTTTCGTTGTTTTTCGATTTTTTTTCCAGATTTTTGCTTAAAGTATAAAAAATGACTGTTGTTTTTAAGTTCTATCCATTCCAAAGTTATTTTTGGAGGAAGAATATTTTTCAAAATATATAAATACATAAAATACATAAATTACATAAAACTCTGTTTTTTCTCCAGCATTGGGCAAAAAAATGTCATAAAATTTTTTAAATAAAAATACGCATCTTCAAAGGCAACAACCTGGATAACAAGTACATGTTTAAATGCCATTTTTGTCATTCGGGCAATTTTAGTTTCTAAGAAAAAAAATCAAGGGTTCAGAATATAGCATTTATTTCGCTATGACGGCGACGTCATGTGTAATCAATTACTTTATTGAAAATTTCTTTCCATTCTTTTTCGTAAAAAGAATCGGCGATCCCATCATGCCCTTTTCACAGCGGAACAAGTATAATCGGAACAATCTTGACATCAATCGATTGCATAAATCCCATTTTTATTACGTGTATTTTCTGAATTATTTTTTTTCTTCCTCCAAAAATAACTTATGAATGAGTTAAAAAATCGCCCATTTTTTGTACGTGAACTATAACGTCAAATTAAAATCTGGAAAAAAATGGGAACCAAGAGAGAACTGTCGCAAATCAATTTGGAGGCATCAACACGAAAAATATTTTAAAAAATCGATAGAATATCTCAGCATATTCTTTAGAAAATTGGATTTCTATTGAATTTTATATGAGTTTTTTGGTGTTTCCATTGACATATTCGATAGACACATGGCAATATTCTATAGGAAAAATCAACAGAATTCGATTCCTATAGAATTTCTTCGGTTCGAAATTTCTGAGTTTTTTTGTTTGACTTTCTTGAACAAAACGGAATAAAAAACGACAGAAAAAACAGAAAATTTGAGCCAAGGAAATTTCATAGAAAATATCGTAATAGAATATGTTTTAAAGGAAAATAAAATTGTATAGGCTTTTTCTATGTAATATTATTTGTTGAACATGTCAAAAGAAACGGCGAAAATCTTATGGAAAATTCAGTATAATCTAATAGGATTCTGTTAAATTTTTTTATACTTGCAATGCTCTTAGTTTTTCCGATCTATATTTTTTTCGTTTAGCACTGAAGAGGAAATTCGAAAAATTCAAGTCGAATAATTTTTATAAATAGAATGAGTCGTTAAGACATACGAAATTTTATCAATTTCCCTTTTCTTATGGAAAGATTTCTATTCATCATTACCGTTGAGGAGACTGTAGAATTTGTTAATAGAATCTGTGGGGAGGTCATGAACAGAATTGAGAATTTTATGAAGACTCAATGAAAATACCTGGTTTCTTTATGCTCTCTGATGGGAATAAATATAATAAATACTATTGGTTTTTTTCCGTGGAATGAATAACTGACTCAATTAATTTTCAACACAATCATTGTTTAAATGTAGAGGAAAATTTGAGAAAAATAAACAGTTGGATTTTTTGAAAAGATTGATTTTTTTATGGAACCGAATAAAAAAGAAAAATTCTATCGAAAAAGAAATTCAGGAAGATTTTTGATTGAACAATCTGTTTTTGAAATTGACGAATCTCGATGAAATAACAATTGAGTCCTGCCAGGTTCGAGTTCTTGACAAAGTTTATCAACGTATTTTCTTGATGAGAATGAGGGGACTTGTCCCTGAATCTTTTTCTCAATTTGGAGATCATGATACATGCCTTTGCATAAACTCCAATGTTTTTGCGCTCTTCACCGGGTATTTGAGTCCAAAAACATAATAACAGAGGAATGCAATCAATACTGCGGTGACCGCCTTATCACAACGGAAGCAGATGCGTTGTTCAATCAACACGAGACAACTGACATCTTTCGAATACACTGAGTCCCCTTTGATGATAGCCAATGGCGTAGGTATAGACACCATGTTGAGAATGTCATCATCAGATGTAGTTTTCTGGAAAGTCAAAGCTGAGTCATGATTTTTGTTCATCTTTAGTTTTGTTCACCATGCATGACAAAAATTAATAGAAAATCCCAATTAATATGTTCGAATAGTCATAAGGTCTTCTATTCATTTATACAAAAAAAAATAGAACTTCACGATAGGATTGGTATAGAGATCCCTAGAACCCACAGAGAATTTGAATAATAAAATTTACTAGGGAATCACTTAGGCTTTCTATTTAATTTTCATGAGTGTTGGATAGATTAATGGGCTGTCCCTGATAGATTCTCATTTATCATATATTTGCATGAAGCTTATAAATTTGAATTGCTTTCATTTTTCTTGTTAATTTTCATAACAGACATGATTTGATACTCCTTTCTTCATTGGTCTATAGACTTTCTATAAGACTTCTATTGAATTTTCTAAGATTTTTCATTTGATTTTTTTGAACAAAAGAAAATAAAAAAAGACTAAAAAAAAACTTGGAAAGTTCCAGTCGAAAAAATTCTATAGAAAAGTAAAATTCTATTGACTTTTTCTATAGAATATTTCTTATAGAACATGTCAATAGGAGCGGCAAAAAACGAATGGAAAATTCAATAGAAGTCTTATAGAAATTCTATAGAAATTCCTATAGAATTCTTTAAGGTTTTCTATTGAAAATTTTCGTACATATATAATTAAAATTACCTCTACCACTTGAAATATTGCATTCTCTTCATCGAAGTATGTAAGGACTAAAGGGATGAGTGAAAGTGCCTGCGGAAATGACTCGTTGAGAGATTGTACAGCATCTCTGGAATCCTTCAATATTTGACGTATTGTTGTCAATTTTTCGGTCGTCTTTCCCTTAAACTTCTTCATTTGCCCAGTGACGAAGTACTGCATAAAATCATGAATGGTAAAGTACTTTGCCACATTTTCCAGAAATTCATTGTATAGAGATTCCTTTCCCAATAAATGAGAAGCATGGTCCAAGAAATGAACTGTTTCACGGAGGAAGGGCCAGTCATTGAAAAGTTCCCCGATCGGCTGAGATTCACGCATTAAAATTGCCATCCTCTGAGATGGGTATGTTTTCCTCATTACATCCTTAATCTTTTCTTGATTCCGCCCCGTCTGCTTAATGAATTGAGTGATGAGGAATTCCTTCATAACCCTTTGAGTTTCCTCGGTCTCTTCGGGTGGTAACCCCGGTTGGTTGTGAACAGTACCATATTCGTCCAGCAATAATTGTCGGGCTTTCCCCGGGCTAGCTCTTGCTGGTAGTTTCCCCTGCGCTTTCTCTCTCAGCTCCATCACGTAAGAAATTCGATTTATAATTGCATCGACGAGAGTTCCCACTCCATCTCCAATCATTACATTACCTAAACGATCTAGAAAGCTCTGAGGATATTTATGACAAATCGAGCGGACAGCCAGGCGTGCCATCGCAGTTCTGGTGTCTTTCACTTCATCAATCATCCAGTCTGCAATGGAATTGATCATGGATTTTCGATCGATGTACGTAGGACTTTTGTTCTCTTTACAAGCTCGCAGTAGATTTGTGGGAAATTTGCACCAGGGCAAAGGCATAGGTAACTGAGAAGGAAATGAATTCTCGTTGCTCATTTTTCTTTTTTCTGATCTTGACTTCCCTATGTATAAGGAATAAATATATGAAAGAAAGACGTGAAATAAAAGTACATTACAGCACTAGGGCGTTAATTTCGTTTTCGACGAATGTGAGCTTTATAAGACACATTCATGGAAACCGAAGTTTACGCCTGCATGATCTATAATATTTCATGTCACTCCGTCAATAAGCCGAGTCTGAAACAATCGTAATGTGTATCATGATAAATTTTATGTGCACAAGCAAAGTTGTTGGTCATTTTTTTCGACGATTAAAGGGCTTGAAAGACTATTCTTCAACATTTTCAGATTCTCCGGCTGTCCATTTTTGTAAATATGATTTCTTTACTTTTCACGTTTTTTTAACTATGACATTTTTTAAAATAACCAGGCATTTTTCTCAATTCCTAAACCCTATCAATAGGAACTCCTATGAACAAATTATAAGGAAAAAACAAAAATATTCGAGTTGTCACATTGATTTAAAAAAAAGTACTTTCGCTTCTATCAATTGAATTGGAGTCGTTTTTTTGTATTTTTGCGAAATTTTCTGAATTATGGTCGAAAAAGCTTTCACAAAATGAATTCAGTACTTAGCTTATTTTGGGTAGTACCTCCAACACTTATTGTGATTATAAAAATTACTGATATTGTTCTGACCATCAATCGTGACATAATTTGCGAAATTGGAAATTTTTGAAAATTATCCATTACAGATGATTAGCATTGAAAAAAATCACAAAAAATATAAAACGAACTGAAGTTTTTGAGTAAAAAAATTCAACAATGAACAATATGTAACATGGCAAATTTCTGGGGGGACAAAAATCACCAGTTATCTCGCCCTTCTCCCTCTGGCGTAATTAAAACGTAAGAAAACTCCATAATGTGGGCGTCCCCGCAGAATGAAAATAAAATTATACTCCCGATGAAATACAAGTAAATTTGATTTGTGAAACATTTTCAAATACTGAATGATCGAGCAAATGAACGAAGTAATGTCGAATTGATTTCTATTATCGATTAAATACTATTCATTTTCTCCTAATATCTGAGAAAGAGTGTTCTTCACACGATTCCTCAGACAAATTTTATTATACAATGAAAAACAATGGGAGTACATCCAGTAAAAATTATACAATAAAGATAAAACAATTTTTGTAAATTAACCCGTATTGAATTATTATCAATTTACAATGGCATTATGTAGTTTGACATAACGTTTCGTACCGAGGGTGTAGACATACAGACTTTGATAACTCTGTAGATTGTCAATTCGTATACATACGTGGTTCATGGTTTCATTAATTTCATAGGCTCTGATTTGAGGAAGGAACTCGGTTGCCAATGAATTAGCCACCACATAAACCGTTCCATCAGTAGACACTAATATTAAAATGATCTGGCCCATTTTCACGTTTAATTGATAATGATCTTGGCTTAGAACGACAACATTTCCATTTCGATATTCTGTACCCTTGATATTTACAGACGGACATTCCTGAATATCTCCGATGATATTGAGTGAAGCGATAGCATCTCTTAAGGAAGCAGAATAAGAGTGGCAAAGGAACGGGAATGAATTAGTAATTATTAAGTCGTTCTTCATCTCGGAGTCGTTACGAATTGAGCTTTGGTAAAGTTCATGTTTATCACTTAAGGTCCAAGTGACATTGATGAAGTTTCTAGTTTTTCTCGCGACATCTTTGAAAAAAGGATGTTTTGATTCAAAACGCATTGTCCATACTAGAATGAGCGGGCCAAATATGAGCATTAGATCTGCGTAATGTGTCAAATAATGATGTTTAGGTCGTAATTTTATATGAGGGAATAATCGTGTTCTCCCAACCAAATATTTATGAATTATTTCTCTCAAATATGGAATGTAACTTTTGTTCACCTGAGGGGAACAAACGATGTCAACGAGTTCCGACAGCAATAAAAATGTCTGCCACACAGGATCTTGTGGCTCCTTGATTTTATCAATGATAACGAGTGGCAACAAACGGATGAATGTCCATATTTGACACGCCTTTCCAGGAATTTTATCACTCGAAGGATCAACTTTTACAGGTTTATCTCTTCTGTCGTTACTACTATATGAGAAGTTCTCGATCCTACCATTCAGTTCTTCCCAACTGAACCATTTTTTCTTTTTTAAATATTTTAAAAATAGCATGATATCGTACTTGGCAAAACCTTCAAAAATGTCATGCCCCAAGCAGGGAGGGAGACCTGGTGCACAGACATGAAAGCTCATCAAGTCATTGAATAGACACTTGGAGATAACGCCTAATTCATTCCCTCCACTCTCTTCAGTTTTACGAACGCATTCATCATACGATTCCATTGTGCGAAAGTCATGGGACAGTTGTTTATATACCTTGTAGGTATGTTTTTTACTGTCACCGATACATCCATTACAATCGTCAGTACATTCATTGATTTCGTTTTTTTGTACAGCACAGTAGCGACAAATATAATTTCCGGAACCGAAGTTACAAATAAACCCGCCAAGTGAATGGCTTCCGAGATTATCCCCCGCTATGTAGACTAAACCAGCTTTTTCGAATACGCCTTTCTCTATTTCCACCCCAGTTCTTTCTAGAATATTCAAATCATGGACAATACTACCGAATACTTTTTCTTGCTCGAACCAATCTTCTTTACACAAGGCCACCAGTTGAATATTAGACATACGACTCCTGGTATGAGAAGGCAAATCACCAAATTGAATGTAAACGGCAAGGATTTTGAATTTATTTCTCGCACTTCCCAATGGATTCACAACTGATACACCGTCTTGATACAATATAATTTTTTTGGCATCTGGATTTTGCTTAAAGAATTTATTGTTTTTAAACGCGGTACCGTCTGGGAAATCGGTCAGAATATCTGAATCGTGGTCAAGTGTAACACTATTCTTCATTGAATTCCTGAAAGATTTATTATGAAAAAAACATTTGAAAGTCTCCTGTATTGGAACGTAATGGAAGAAAGTTTGGTTCCCATCTTTATTATTTATTAGTATTTGTTGTGGCTCTACGTAAAATTCATTATTTTTGTAATATTTTTTCCGTTTGTAATCACTACTTAATTTTGAACATGACGAAACGAAAGGATTATTAATTGTGACGTCGTCGAGAATTGCCTCTATTTGTTCCTCTGGAAGCCCTGTTTTTGTTAATTCAGATTTAATTCTTGTGTTCAAAATGCTTTGATTCTGCTGAACCATAATTTGAAGTTCAGAAACGATAAATTGAATCGTGGAAATTGGTATTGTGTGATCAGTTTCTAATCGTAGCAAAAAATTTGCATAATTATGTAAAAAAATATCTGAATCTTCATTGGTTCGTCGCGATTGATCTTCTAGGTTTAGAGTTATTTCATGAGTTTCAGAATTACTAATTCCATGATTTTTTTGTGTCAGTTCTGAAGATCCGTAATAGGTTATCGGATGCTCACTGTCATTAATCGCAAGATCCATTTTATCATCGTTTGTACACCTACTCGGACCAGGTAAATCGGAAATAACGGTTGATCGACCAGAAGCTACACGATGGCATTTGGATAAATGCGAAGAAAACGTTGAGACATTATGGAATTCAGTGGTAGTAGAAGTACATGAAGTTATGGGACATTTTATTTTGATACCATCGGTAATGTGGTCTTTTAAGTGGCGAATGAACGCGGTATAATTATAAAACCCTTGGCTACACGTTTTTACTTGACAACTATGACAAGCATCCGAATTACGAGTGTTCTGCTCCTTATTATTGGGCTCTCCTCGGTCACCAGTCTTGGTAAATTTATGGTGTCTGCGCAGATGCATCCGCAGAGCTGCTTCAGAAACCAATGAGTACTGGCAGTTATTCCAACCGCAATAGAAATGATTATTCAAACTATGGTGTTGTCTATGGGAAAGGTATTGGGACAATTGTTCCGTGCGATATTTACAGAATCGGCACTGAAACATTGTATTTTTACTTTGCTAATGACTTTTTCGTTCGAATTGATAGGCTAAAATGTTTCGGGCAGTTTTTAAAGTGATAGATCTTTTTATAATTTGGAAGGGAGGCATCAGCCAACCGCAATTTTAAGAACCCATTGATTACTTACTCCCTGAATAGTCAGAGCATACACAACCGTTGAATTTAGAACCTTATAATTAGTAAAAAAATTATGAAAGATTTTAGCAGTGGTTCTGGGTGATTTACGATTCTCGAAGTCGTTCTCTCCGTTTGTCGATATTCTTGCTGTTGTAATGAAAGATAATTTTAATTGCAAAATTACCCTTCCTTGCAAAATGTTCGTCTATTGTTTTCGGAAGACAGTTATGAAATGTTTTCCAAACAATCAGTGAAATTATAATGAATTTACTAGTTCGAATTACCTGGCTGAAAGACTTCGGTTTTGTGAAAGTCAACTTCCCAGTGTTCCAAATTTCCTATGATCCTTCCTATTTTTTGCTATACACCTTTCTTTTCCTTGAGTCACCTCCTTTCAATTTCGTTTTTTTTATTCGTCTGCAATATATTGATGAACGAGGAATTAATTGTTCTATTTTGTTTCTCTAGTGTTTGTTTGTCTTCTTCCACGTATAGACTATTCAAGGGTACTATCAAATTTATAATTCGCGTATTATCTGATTGAGATTTCTTATACTGTAAAAATTGATTAGCTAGCTATGATTAAAAATGAATAATTTGGGCAAAAAAAAGAGTTTATCGTCAATTTAGCACGAAAAGTTTTACTATCGTGAAAACAATCCCAGGCTTCCATCTTTCAGCTATAAAAAAATCAGTTCTCTGTCAAATGTTTGAAAAAAACATATAGAATAACAATTACTTATTCAATTGCGTTTTTCTTTCCCGTCTTTTACATTAAATAGTTTCATAGTAACCTCCTCTTGAAAATTTGAAAAACTCTGAGGCGGGTAAGTATGAGATTTACTAAAAAACTACTATAAGTTATAAAAATTCATGGTTGGAAATTCAAAGGATAGGAGTTCCAGATATTTTTTCATTGACTAGAAATAAAAATTTTTGTAATAAAAGTTTCTGTAAAAAGTTTGCATCAGACGAATATTTCCCCGATAAAAATTCATTTAAATATAGCGGAAATTTTATTATCCTTGAATCGAATTTTATTCACATCGAAACTTTTAGGGGATATTCAATTCAATTGCAAATTACATTTTTTTATGAGAATTTTTTAAAATGATTTTCATGGGAGATTTTTTTATAGAACTTCAGGCTTTTCTAAAAAAATTGCATCCATTAAAAAATATTGAACACGAACAACAAAAATTTCATAAATTCCTCGAATTGATAGAATTTTCATATAGCCAAAAATCCCAGCACATATTGAACTAAATTTCTTATGAGAATTTTTTTCCTAATTCCGGTAAAAGAATCATCTATTGAGATTTTTTTCAGTTTGACCGGAAATCTATCTATCGAAAAAATAGCTCATGAATTATTCCTACATATTTTTTAAAAAGAAAATATAATTCGATAATTCATGCACTTCCAAGGGTTTTCAGCATGGATTAGAAATTTCGAGGGAAATTCTTTAGTGACCACCAAACAAATAACTAATATTCAATTAAATTTGCAATTTTTTGAAATGTTGATTATTTTTATCAACAAATTGTTTATTACAAATTTCGGTTAATTTGATTGAAAGCATTTCATATTTTTTGAAGACAAAAAAATCATTTGAAAAGTTACCTGGCCGACACTTGTCCTAATTGCAATCGAACTCTCTCATTAATTGTTTGCGTTCTCGTCCTTTTGCTCCTTCTGTAGGCTTCTGGAATATATCGAAAAATGATGGAAAAATTGTCGTATTTCTTTAACTTCCATTACTCTTCATCGCTTTCGTTTTACAATAAAATAGAATTTAGAAAAATTCCATAGCGGAAGATCCTCAGATTTTACGGTAATTTGCTGAATATTCTTCAGGTATATTCTATTCATCTTGATTATCACTCTCTTAAATTTTCTAGTCATTTGGCAAATGATTCTTATTATTCTCATCGTTATTATTATTTTATAATACCTCTAAATGCTGAAATCGCCAACCTGACAACTCCTTTAACCAAAGTCCTTAAGAAAATGATTGAAAATGATTTCATTCACTTTACACGAGTCAATTTTTAGATCGTACAATTAGTTAAATACACTTGGAATAAATTAAATCTTTTCCACTTACCTTTCAAATGATTAATCTGGGATACAGATTTTGGCAGCTCTCAAAATGGCAGAATCATGAATGTGAAAAAACATATGAACGGCAGAATATGAAAAAACATTTGAACATTCACATGGAATATTAGCAGTGCTGTCACCTTTACAATTGTTCAGACACTTGTGGGGAAATTTAAAATTTATGAAATGATGACAGTTGTGGGATGAATTGTTTTTTCAATTTCCATTAAGACAAATTATAGCACATATATTAGACATTTCGATTTTTGTCAATTGGTCTATACTGCTGATTTTTTAATCTGATGCAATCTTTTTCACCAATTTTTTGATTACCGATATCTGACTTTAGCGTATTTGAGTAAAAAAAATTAAGATAAATCTTATGCGTTCCATAATGCGCAGAAAATTAATTCTTGAGCGGTAACTCAGGTTTTTTTTGTGCCGGAGAATTAACATTTAATTAATGTTCCATTTCTCTCCATAGAATGAGTATTTAATTAACTTCCTAATGACGAAATTACTTTTGGTTTTGATTTCCGTTTTGTTTGCATCGGTTTTTCCAATTGGAAAAACGTTTAAACGTCGTAAAATCCAATTCATTGATCAATTTTTTTCTCCGGATGTTTTTCAAAAATTGTTTTTTCTATTTTTGTTATTTGAATGGAAATAACAATCATTTATTCAATTATGACAAAAAAATAAGTGGAAGGATAAAATATTTCAATTAGTCAACGAAAATAGAATTTTATTTCGACCAATTCACAAGAAAAAGATTATAATCGAAGAGTAAATTGGTTTTTATTCATGCAACAACCATTGAATCAAGAAAAATATTATTTTCAATGCGTAAGTTATGTGGGCATGCATACATGTATTTATATCCTGAATGGCTCCTGCGGACCGCAGACTCATCTTTACTCCACTGCAGATATAATTTCTCTATCGACCAGACAACACAATGCTAATCCGTCTTTCAAATTTTCAAACTGCAAACGGGAAAAATTACGTTTGCGTCATGTTAAGAATTATTGTTTGATTTGCAGAACTTTCGGTCTTAAAGATTTATGGGCCTGTGGGTGATAAGATAGCGGCTATTTATTTTTGCAAACTTCTCGGTATTCGGAATTGACATGTGAGATAAATTTGCAGGGACTGGAATATTTTAATCCTTCGTCAATATTATGATAGGAGTTTTTGTGCAGATAATTAACAGTTTAATGACTAAATGTCATTGAATCGGCCGATTTTCCATATGTTTTTGATTTCCACAGGGTCAACCAAAAAAAAAAAACGAAAATTAAGTTAAGAATTACGTTCTTAAATTGAGACTTCTGAAAGTCTTAACTTAAGATTGTCTACGATAAAAATTCGAAAAAAAGTTAAACAACAAAAACCTTAAGCGGAAGAGGAAGAGATAATTAAATCAATGACACTGAATTCAAA